GTGATTGTATTGATTAAAGGTGTTTCTCTCGAATGGCAATCCGTCTTTTTTTTTTTTTTTTTTTTTTTTCCGACGCGAAAGAGACGCGGACCAATTCGCCGCGATCTTCGCGAAAAGATTAACCGCTGCCGTAATAAGATTAATGACCGTCGTAGAATTCAGAAGGAAAAAGAAAAACGACTTCGACGATCGGCCAAAGTAGCTTTAACGCGCGAACTACCTAGGTATAGAGGAGGTTATTTTTAGATTGCAGTTCAAACGCCTCCCCAAATAGCCAGTCAAAACAAGTCCATTAATATAGCCGTCGGTTATACTCTCTTCTCTCTATCCGGTTTATCTTTTATGCATAAGAATATCTTTTCACTGAATTATATTCCCACGCACTCAATTTTCCGAGAGGGGGAGCAGAGCTCGTTTCGTTTTTCATTATCGTCCAAAACTCGAACCGAGTCTGTTTACAAATTTGCAAGACACCACGGGAGTACTAATAATAATAATAATAATAATAATAATAATAATAACGACAACAACTTCAATTATAATCAAAAAAACAAATTGACCCAACAGCCGTGTATACACATTTCTTGTTCTTATTAATTTATTTCTGTGTATATAAACTTTCGAAGACCTTTGGAAACACCGCAATGTTTTGACGCTCGTTGTTGTTATTTGATTCTGACCGTTGACACGCGGTTACAAATGTTCGAATTGATATGTAAGGTGTGCAAAGTTCACTTTCACACAATTTTTCGTTATTATTATTTTGATACAAATCTTTTGTAACAGTTACGGTGACACGTGAATTATTAAAAACTTTTATCTTTCTTTTTGAACAAAATAAAAAAAAGAGGATCTAGCGGTACTGTAAAAGTTTTAACAGCGACCGCTACGGAGGATTGCGCAAAACGCGCGAAATTTCTGCCGCGAGATTTTGCAACGTGAATCTTGGTAGTAGTTTATTTATTAGAAGGGCCATAAAGCAGCGGCGCATTAAGAACGGAGATACAAAGTCGCGGTAGCGTAAGAATCGCGCTCGGGCAGTTACTCTTCGTAAAGAACTTGGATAAATTGCCGCAAAGCTGGAGAGATAAAGCTTGAAATATTCTGGACAATCTCAATTCCGCCGCGGCGGAATGTGTACAGCGCGCGTCTCAGAATTATTGCACTCTCATCCCCCTCTGTCCCCCTCCCCCCCCGCCTCGTCTGGTCACACGCGGGCACCGCGAAAAATTTTGGAAGAAAATAAAAGATTGCGCCAAAAATTGCGCGATTCAATGACGATCCTCGGATTTAATTTCGAATTTTAGCGGAAATTTTATTTTAGTCGCAATCAAATTCAATCGCGCTCAACTTTGTTGTTATGTACTTTAATACTTGTTTCATAATTCACAGAGATTAGACAACAATCTTGTTTATTTTTTTTATGACAAAAACCACGTACTTTGACATCAGAAAATTAAAACCGGCTTACAACTAGCAGATAGTTAAAAGTCAATTTTATTTAACACACTTGAAGATTTACAAATGGATTTTGTATTCAATTTTAATTTTTTTGTTTTGAATTTCATAGGAAAATAAAATAGATAATTTAAAAATATTGAAGACATTAGTTATCGCACATCCTTAGAATATTTTGTTTTTAATTAAAATCAATTCGAATTTCTAATTAGTGTATTTATATACACTATAAGTTAAAAAATAAGCAATTTACACGTTTAAAAGTTTTATATCTGCGCGTATACATTCAGCACATTGGCTAGTATTGACCTTTAATATATCTGCTAGTTGTGAACTTTCGCGAGGTTAAAATTTGTTAAAACGAATTAATTCGCCGAGCGAGATAAACATTTCTGAAACATTCCGCATATTGGCGTGTGCCTCTCCGTATTTGCCAACTACATAATGTTTTCAACTCCGCGTCCCGCGTTGCCCGATAAACTTGATGCACGTTCGCGGAATATTTGGACGAATGCAAAACTTGCGAGCGGCGGTGGCGTTGCGAAAGAATTTTCGACCGAATTGTGTTTTGCGAGAGAGTGTGAAGTTCGCGTTAACATCTGTTCTCCCTCGAGATTTCGCGAGCGAGAGAACTTTAACGCGACCGCATCTAGGCTATTCCGTTATCTCTCTCTCGCATCGGTCGTTTCGCCAGGATTTTTTTTTTTTTCTTCCGGAATGTCGAAATGTCTCTTGCGCACGTCTCTCTCTCTCTCTCTCTCTCTCTCTCTCTCTGACTCAACAAACAGCACACAGTGCGATATTTAATTCTCGTTCACAAGAACAGATAACCACGGACAACAACGCGCTGATAAGAGGTTTTTTCTTTCCTTTTTTTTATTCGCAACTTCCTTTGCCACACCTCTTGACGGACGGGAACGAGATTTCTTTTGTCTCCGCGCGCGTCAGTTAATTAATTGATTATTTTCACAATTAGAAAGAAAGAGATTAAATTGGTTCGTTATAAAAGAGAGAAACAAATTATGAAAAATAATGAAGCTAAAAACGATCGCGCGCGATGACGTCAACTATTTTTATCTCTGAATTCTGAGTTTATATAGATACAGTCACCAAACGGACGTTATAACGCAGATTTTATTTAAACTCGCGAACGATATTATTTATTCAGTCTGGCCTGAACCCAAAAGAGATTTCTCGAAACAAATTGAACGAGAGTGTTTCGCTTACCTTGACCATCTGGAGAATCTCCGCGCACTTGATCCTCACGTTCTGGAAAGGACAGTTGACGCTGAGCCTGAGAATAACCGGCAGATGCAACGTCACCAGGCTGAGATACTTGTTGGCCTGCGCCTGTCTCGGTCCGTCCAGCGCGTTGCCCAGATTCAACATCCTGCCGACGTCGCCGGGCGTGACTTCCGGACTTTCGAGTACTCTGCCGCTTTTCGCAGACACGTCCTCGTCTTGAGAGAGCGGCCTTTTGATCTGACCGGCGCTGAACTTTCTTTCGTCGTTCTTGCGCAGATAATCCTGCTGCGTCCGACGACCGTCTTCCGACGCGTCCTCGTAGACCGCCGTAGACTCGCGACTCTCCAAATTCATGTCCTGGCCATAGGGAGACGTTTCGTTCTCGTTCTCGAAGCCGTCAAGAGTGTTGAAGACAACCCCGTCGCTACGCGCAGCTTCGCTCTCGTTGAAGGACACGTCGTCGTCGGCGGCGCCGTCGTAATATCGGCGTTGCTCGTGCGTCAGCAGGTCGCCGCCGGCGATCTTGGCTCGGCGATTCAGATTTCGGCAGTCGTAGGACGCGAGACCGCTCAAGTTGTCGTCGAACTTTGGACTTTTACCGTACACACGGGTGTCCGCGTCGATCTCGTCATCCTCCAACTGTTTCTGCTTGGCGCCTTTCACCTTCACGTAATTGTTCTTCGTCCTGCCGGCGCAGTACTCGTCGCTGGTCGACCTGTCGCTCGAGGACGAGCCGGGATGATACTTCCGCTCGCTGTCGCAGCTCGAGCCGAAGCGCGGGCACCTACCCTCCGTCGTCCTCTTACTGCCCTCATCCGAAGACGTCGAGTGGCCGGACCTGCAGCTCTCGACGCCGTCGCTGCTGACGTAACGTTCGCGGAATCGCCTCTCGTTCAGGAGCCGACCGTCCACGCAGTCGAACGAGCACTCGGAATTGTTCTCATCTAGAAACAGCGCCGAACTGTTGTCGTTGACGCTCTGCGGGAAGAAGCCTTCCGTTCGGAACGTGTCCTGTATCAGCTGGTGCTGATTAACGTTCCTCGGCGACGACCTCGTCGGCGATCGTTCCACGCTCATGTCGTATCTTCGCCCAACAAACACGAATTATCGATTAATGGTCGATAACGGGTTTGTCAATTTTCGCGAAAACGTTTAACTTTTCACCGAGACACGTGTAAACAGCAGCAATTATTTACGTGTAACGGCCTCGTCATAAATATATAAACATTACTTCGAAGAAAAATTCGGTAATCGCGGCTTTATATTTTCACGAAAATAAAAAAAACAACTCTTGTATCAATCGATGCACCACCGCGCGTGTGATACAAACTTGTCGAAACACAATGACTGCTATTTATTTCTTTTCTCACCGCGAACTCACCGCGATTTTCTCTCAACGTATCTCTAATTTTTATCTTCTTCTCAATTACATATCGACAATAACAAAAAAAAAAAAACTTATCTGAGGCTTTTTGGTGAACGTGGAAACTAAAAATCGTTTCTCGCTCGCTAAAACGATTAAATGTAATTTCGCTCCCACATTTATTATTAATCCCCATAACGTGCGCAATTTTAATGAACCGCTCGTGATTATTTAAGTAACGCATATTCGCGTCGGGAGTTTTAACGTGTGTGTGTTTGCGTGACTCGGCGCTGATATTAAATCCCCGCGAACCAATAATTTGAGCGGGAGAAGCACGGAACGAAATGTTTGCGTCGATTAAATACGTCTGCTCGAATCGGCATTATGATACACGATACGAGATTATTTTAGGAAATATATTTAGTTACACGGGGGATGCGCCCGCATACATTATTTGTTATTTCATAATCGTTAATTGATCAATTCGTTAATTAATGACTCGGCTAATGGATATCCGACGCAAACAAGGTTATATTCAATAAATTATAATTTTAACATTCCCTACGCGGTGCGCGCTCGTATATTTATTTAACCAAGGGGATAAAATGGCATGATAAAATGTATCACGCAATATTAGTTAACGGCCACAAAGTAGGTTAATATATAGATAACTGCAAAGCGGCGTGTGTTTTATTTCCGCGGATTTTACTTGCTCGATTTCGATTGATTTCATCCCGATCAAAAACACCGCGCTCACAAATGTCAACAAAATGCATTTTGTCGTATTAAAATTTTTTTTTTTTTTTTTTGTTTTTGTTTTTTTTACAGATAAAATGTGCTTTTAAAAATTCACCTTCCGTCTTGACTGGAGAGTTTCCCGGTCTTGATATCCTCGACGTCGGCGTTGTCCTCCCAGTGACTTGGACTACCGACGCCGCCCAGCCATCCCTCGACGGTGTTTCTGGCCGCAGCCAGGGCGATGTTCCTGGCCGCCTCGTCCCTGGCGCAGAGCGGCGCCAGGAATCTACTGACGAGCTCGACTTCGTCGCCCTTGGTGGAGGCGCCGCTGCCCGACGAATTGTTCGGCTCTCGGTACATATCCTACTTCCTGTATCGCCGCGCACGTTGTTTTCCTTCCGTCCGATCCTACCCAGGATCCTTCCTCCCGTGTTTTCTTCGTCTCTCTCTCTCTCTCTCTCTCTCGCTCTCTCTCCACGGAGCAATCGCACGGAGTATCGAGACGCTCGCGCGCTCGGCTCGATTCCCAGGATAAACAGTGCGCGATGGACCGAGGGAATATCTCTATTTTTCTTCTTTCCAATTCCCCTTCTTCGCGGGAAGACGACGACACCTTCGTCGCTTCTTTCCCGATCTTCTTTCGTCGCGAAGAGAATCCGCGAACTATTGCCGGCGCTGTAAGAAAAAGTACAACCGCTCGTTTTTTTGTCGTCGACAAATTTCGTGCCCTTTATTCTTTTCGGAAAACAAATTTTGCAACGCGAATTTATTTTATTTCGTTACTTCTTTTTTTTCTTTTTTTTTTTTTTTACAACTTTACAATCGTACATCCAAGCGTGTTGCTTCGCAAATCGCACCGAATTTTTCCTCTCTATTTCCCTCGCGCCTACGAGAAACAAAACCGATAATCTTTCTCGATCGAATGCGTTTTCGTCGAATCGATCATCCGCGGTTCGATCGATTGTTCGCCGGCCGTGATTAAACGGCACTCCCGGCGTTCCTGTTTTTTTTTTTTTTTTTCTTTCCCAAAGGCTCTGTAGTTCCTCTCCCCCAGCGCAGAGGCGAGGAAAGAAAGAGGACGACGGGGAGGAGGCGGAGGGGAGAAAGAAAAAAAGAGGGAAGGCGGCGCGCGAGAGTAGATCGCTGGTGCGCGCGCGCTATCCACGCGGTAATTACGCTCGTTTCGTCGCGTTTCGCCGTGAGAGAATCGGTCGTAAAACTTGTTTCTCTAGGAGGATTTTACCGGAGCTCTCTGTGCCCCGCACTTCGGGGGGATATACACGTTTTCAGGGCGATAGAAAGTAGGCAGAAGGCGTCGGCCGCGCCGTCGGTCGAGGCGATCTATCGAGATGCGAGTTCGACAAGGAGAGAGCGGGTGTAGAGGGAGGGAGGGGGGGGGGAGAAGTAGGAGAGGAATCTTTAACGAACGCGGAGGGAACCGATCGATCGGCAGAACGCTTTAACTTACTCGGATCCGATCGATCACCGTCGCCCTTTCCTCTTCTTTCTTCTTCTTTTTCCCCTCGGCTATTTTTCTCTCGTTTCTCTTTATCTTTCCCGCGGTTTCTATCACACGACTTTCTCTCTATCTCGCGTGTCAACGTTAACCAGCGCAATCACCGATCTCGACTCGCGTTGTTTTTTTCTTTTTTTTTTTTTTTTTACATCGTTACCGGTTTTTCACCGAATTTTCCGCGTGTGTGCGCGCGCGCGTGTACGAAAATTCGCGCGCGTGATCTACTCCACACGAGCCCTTTCGATCTAGTATTCCGCGAAGTACCTGAAAACAGAAGAAGAAAGAAGGATTGAAATAAATTACGGAAAATGCATTTTAAAATACTTTGTACGCAGGAAAGATAAAAAAAAAAAAAACGCGTTTTCTTCATAGAAATCATTTTCTCTTTTTTTTCTCTCTCTCTCTCTCTTCGCTACCGCGGCAGATTCTTTCCTTCCATAAAATGGATGTAATAGCGTAAAACTCGGAAAGTACCGTGGCATTAAGGCGAAATGATCGACATCGATCAGGAAAGGAGGAAATGAAACTACGCGCGAGCAAAACGACAGATTATGACGTGGCGCGAAAGAGAGCGCTACATTTCGCCGCGAGTGATTTTATCGTATTGAACTTCAATCTCCGCCGCCACCTAACGCGCGCCTCCCTTCCCCTCCCCCCCCCGCCCCGCATCGATCGATCTTTTTACACTCCGGTTCTTAAAGCCAGATAAATGCAATAATACGTTATAGCGGACATGTGTGTGAGAAGCCACTTTTAAATAGGGAAACACTTTTCGCGCGCGTCAATAATCGACGGATTATCGTTCGGTCGTTACGGGGCGCGTTACGCAACGGGTCGGAGTTCGCAGCTTCTTTCGAACCTTCGAGAAGTAGGAAATCACGGTGCGATACATCACGTTGTACAATTCCTCGAATCCTTCGCAATCCGATTAAATTGTGGATTAATTTCGTCACCGATTTAATTTACAGTGTGCAGAAGCACGAGGAATTGTCGAAACAAATTACGTAATACGCTCCATTCTACACACAAACGTACACACACACACACACACACAAAATGTGCATTGAAATCTAAAGAAAGTAACAAGCTACTTTCCGTTAACGGTGCTTTTTGTTAACGTTACGGACTTGTAAACTCTGTTCTCTGCTTAGGATATTGCTGACTAACGTTCGACGATTCAGAACAATCAGCTGGAGTTTGTTTGTACGTAACAGACAGAGGGAAGCTGCGTCCTAAGTCTCTCGTGTATCGGGTGTGAATAATCCTCCAAGTCGTGATGAAAGTCAAAGATAAGGGTATTATTAATTAATTGCCGCGGTTTGCCAATAAATTGCGTGATTAATCAATATTACGGTGCTCTCGCAACGTATCGTGGGGTGGTCCGCGATTTGATTGATCGATTGTCGTGGGAGAGAAAGAGAGAGAGAGAGAGAGGGAAAGAGAGAGAAGAAAGAGAGAGAGAGAGACCCCTGGGTCAAGGTTCCGAGGTCAGGAAATAAGAAAGGTCACGTCAGGGTAGCAATTTATCGGAGGATCACGAGAAGCTGAAATATTGAGGCGAATAAAGAAGGATGCAACTTTCACTGTAGAAAAAGAGAATCAATATACGCGACAACAATGTATCAGCGAGTCAGCGCAATATTAATAATGCGAGAGAGAGAGGAGAGGGGGAGAAAAGAGAGAAAGAAAAAAAAAAGATATAAAAGATACATATTTATGTAAAAGATATATTGTTAATAAGTAAAACCGCAAAAGAGCGAGGAAGAAATTCAATTTCAGGAGAGTCTCACGACACGCGATTACGTAAACTTACGTATATAACCTGTGTACGCGCGTTTATTTCATATATACGCGCATTTTCTTATTGCGTAAGCGCGTTGTGGAAAAGGACTCCGAGACGAGTTATAAAAACGCCTCGACGCGCGTTTTTCCACCGTGTATTTTTACGGAGAGAGAAAACGGTTTTTGCGAAACGCGCCTGTATAAATTCAGTCTCTCTCTCTCTCTGTCTCTCTCTCTCTCTCTGTCTCTCTCTCTCTCTCTCACACACACACACACACACATATGAAACTCGAACGAAAACTCGCTCTCGTTTCAAAGTTCCGTTTTAGTTTTTTATTTTTTATTTTTTTTTTATTTTTTTATTTTTTTTATTTTTTTAATTATATTGCACCGGTAATTGATTCAACGAGAGTTCATTATCGAATCAATATAAACAGACCGGCGATGCGTTACGGTTACGGTCATGCGATAATACGACCGGATGACGGAGTGTGTTTCAAAAGTTTCGCCTATATATCACACTTGTGTGATTTATGCGAGCCCACTGCAGGAATGATTAATGGCGATATCGCAGTAACACTTAGGCCAAAAGTGTAACTCTATACACAGTAACAGTTTGCATTTAGGTTTTTTGATATTAGCGCTGCACTTTTGCCGACCGCTTGATTATACCTTTATCAACAACGCTTGATTATATACCTTCCTTGGTACTGTAATATCGCGAACGGGAATCACAAGACTTTCGCGACAAATGTACGGTGCAAGGCTATGATTTCCGGATACACGTGAAATAATACAATTTGTTACAAACGAAGGAACTGCAAGTTTCTGATTTCTAATTAATTGTAAGAGTTTTAATTACATTACAAGTTAATTGCAAGTTTATACTAAAACTTAAGCAATAATTGTAGTTTTTTACTTGCAATAAATTGTAAGTTTGAAATTTTCAATAATTGCAAAGTTAAATTAAATACTTGCAATAATTTTAAAACTACTAAATTATAAAAAAAAAACTAATTAATTTATACGTATATCGCACGAGAGACGCGCAAAAGAACGAAGAATTTTATACACACAAATGCCGGATATATATTAATACCTTTTGCTAGACCATGAGCAAAAACAAAGAGAGAGAGAGAGAGAGAGATTAAGAAGTCTCGAAGTTGTTATTGATTTTTGAAGACGACTTAATTCCATTTAATCTATTTATCGACTTAAGTGAAGTGCACAAAGCCGTACATACGGTTGAGCTTCGGAAGCACGTTTTTAAACGATTATGAAAAAATATGCGCGCGCAATTTGTAATAAAATACGGAACGATTTAATTGACACCACCGACACAACTTCGTATAATCAAGGAAATGATCGAACAAGGTAATACTCAGAACCAGTTCGGCCACCTTTGGCCACCTCTGCTTTAATCATAATAATATTCGCGCGAGTTGTAATTTTGGCGCGGCGTATAAAAAGCAATTTCAGAGAACAAGAGAGAGAGAGAGAACGCGTAATAATATCACCTTCGTAGAAGAGTTTTACAAAAAACCTGCAAGAAATGATAATAATAAATAAGTGAATTTTTCGTCGCGCGTTTTTCTGAAAACGGCGGAGAACGACTTAATCGTTTTTTCTTTTCTTTTTTTTCAGTCGTACCGCGCCGAGTGAATAACAAGCGCATTTGTTTGCCGGATACGCGTCGTCGGTTGGTTCGCGAAAATTAACAGGAAGCTCCAACCAAAAGGGGTGGACGGGACGGCGTGTTCAACGTGTAATGTTAGTAGGTAGCGCAAAACCGCAGACATGATCTCGCTCGGCGAGTAAAGTGAACGTTATAATGCGATATTTAATGAAAACCTTTTACGGAAAACTGAGAAAGAGAGAGAGAAAGAGAGACGCGCGCGTATATGCTCGATATTTTCACTTAAACGCACTCTAATTTGCCTCTCGGACGAAAGCCGAGCTCCTAGGTCTCGGACACAGAGAGTCCGTGTGTGTTTACTATGTTATTGCGTGACTTCCATTCAGTTTCACGGGAAATAATCCTAAATAATCCTCTCTTGACTTTGGTCCACATATCTCTCTCCGTCTTTTTCTCTCTTTCTTTTTCTTTCTCTCTCTCTCTCTCTCTTGTCGTTGCGCGCGCGCGCGCGCGCGACCTCTCTTCTCTTTTACCTCTCTCGTCTTCCCGTCTTTTTGGCTCGGTTCCCCGATCTCCGTGGCGATCTAAATATTTATAAACGTCCAGAAGCCTAAACCCTTCCACTACCTCCTCCTCGTATGGGGCGCGTATGAATTATTAATGCCACGGACCGTCGTCGAGCTACCGGCGTGTTCGCGTCGCGCCGTGCATTCGCGATATATATACCGGTACATACTTTGTCTTTCAGTGATATAAGGATGGTCAGGGCGGCGAACGACGCGCGAGAAGAACGACGACGTGCGAGGCGATAAAGTGATCGCGCGCGCGCGCGCTCTGCTCGATTCGCTTTAAGCGAATTACACGCGAAACGAAACAGAAGCGGATTAACGCGCTGGAATAATATATCGCGTCGTAATTTCGCGCGCGATATTTATTTCGCGCACGGCCCAAAGAGCGCGTGTTTTACGACTCGATCGATCGTCGCGATCCAACACAACACAACGCGCGCGCGCACGCACACGCACACGCGTTCGGACAAAATTGTCTCTTCGGTAATGACCGCTTGTTTACGAGCCGGACGCAATGCTCACGTCACAGATGTGGGATTAACCTGAATGATGAGCAGCACGTAGTTAGTACAGAAATGAAACGGAGGTTTTTCTTTTCTCTTTTTTTTTCTTCTCCGCTGTATAATTTCACGAGTCGTCGCGCTTTTTTTCTTGATCGACGTGAAACATGGTCTTCGCATCGAGAACCAGAATCGATTTCGTTTCGGAAAATTTCGTATCTAAATCATATATGCGCAAGAACTCGATACGTCATACGATTTTTTTATTGTTTCTTCTCGTGCTCTTTCTTCCTCGCTTTTGAATTATGTATTGCGACATTTGTCACGGTCGTCGTCGTCGTCGTCGTCGTCGTCGTCGTCGTCGTCGTCGTCGAAATTTCAAAAATCCGCAGAACACATCCGAAATCGCGGCTACTTTTCGCGCAACGTTCCTCGCAAAGAAAAAAAAGCGTCCAGTCAGCGCGTTTGACAACTCGACGTACAACAAAACAAAAAAAATGATCCACGTGAAAACGGATCATCATCGGAATTATATTTTCGAACTAGCGTGTTCTGGGAGGGGAGGGGGAAGGGTCGCCTGGCACCAACATGCACAGAATGCTAAGAACGCAAAGAAAGGCAGTGCCTGATACGATGGCGTGTCATCTGCAATCCATGCACAATCATTTGTTTCTTTTTTTCTTCTTTTTTTTTTTCGACGACACTTACACATCATGCTAATGCGAAAGCATAACTATACTGCTTGTTTCTCGAAATAAGAGTTTCCCGTAGAGAAAG